TTCGGTCAGTGCTACCTCTCTTGGGCCCCTTTTGGTGCCGTCCTGGGGCCCTCTTGGGCCGTCTTGGGTGCCTCTTGGGCCGTCTTGGGGCGCTCTTAGTCCGTCTTGGAGCTCTCTTGAGTTTTTTGTTAGGGTCGGGCGATAACCCGGGTTATCGGGCTTGTCCCCCCCTCCCCCCCCCAAGATAACCTACCCTTGCCTGTTGTGCAGGTCCGCGGGAGGGGGGTGCGCGGGCATATGCAGGGTTGCCCACAGCGCGAGGGTTAGGTTATCGGCCGCCCCTCCCCCCCCCCCCCGGATAACCTCGGTTATCGCCGATTCAGCAAAAAAACGTTCTCCTTGGAGGCCTCTTTGGCTGTTTCGGGGCCGTCTTGGAGGCCTCTTGGGCCGTCTTGGAGCGTCGGAAAGCCGAAAAGGCGACAACGCCAAACTCTTCAAAAAACCTTAGGCACATCAATGCTGCTGGCCTCTTGGGGTCTTCTTTGAAGGCCTCTTTGAGGCCTCCTGCGGCGTCTTGGAGGCCTCTTGGGCCGTCTGGGCACCATCTTGGGCGTCTTGGGCCGATTTTTGGGCGTCTTGGGGTCCGCTTGGGCCAGGAAATTCACGTGCCATCATTTTCAAAGCCCAGAAGGCACGCTGGATTCCCCAAGATATTTCGGACATTTGGGCCCAGGCCCATTACGACCCCCCTGGACTGAGGACTGGGGCTCCAGGGATTAGATTAGACCAGAGGAGACGCCCTCTCCGTACCCAGAGGCACAGTGGTGACCATCAGTCTTGCGTGTGACAACATACATTTATACAAAGTGAGCGCCACCAAACCCATACCGCATAACCCTTGGAGGTCTTTAGATTTGCAGCCTCCCGTTTCTCTCGGCGGGGGGCAAGCTTGCCCCTCCTTGTCCTCCTCCCCCTCATTGTTCCTCGTCCTCTTCCTGCTGCTCCTCGTGGTCGTTTTTGCCGTCGTCGTCGTCGTCGTCTCGTCGGATATTCTGTTCCCTCTATTGTTGGGCGGGCTGAATGTTGTTTGGGGGGAGCTTTCTCCCAGGGAATAATCCGTTATCAGCTACCCTAAATGCGAGAGGATGTGTGAGCATCTTGCGTATGGCAACCGCAATTGGTGGTTGCGGTTGTATTCGTGGTTGTAATCGTGATTGTTGTCGTGATCGTAGTTGTAGTTGTAGTCGTGATGATAATTGTAATCGTAGCCGTCCTTGTCGTCGTCGAGGCGGGGCTCGTTTGCCTTCTATTGTTGGGCGGACCAGATCATGTTGGGGTGGTTGTAGGCGTGATTTGAATATTTGTTGTAGTCGTGATTCTAATCGGGATTGTAGTCGTGATTGATCGTTGTCGTGGCTGTGGTCGTGATCGTACTCGTAGCCGTTTTGGTACCGTGGTCGTAGTCTTAGTCGTAATCGTACTGATCGTCGTCGTCGTTGTGCGACGGGTGCCGCGGATAAATAACTCGTTCCCATTATTGGTGGGTCCCCAGTCCGTCCATAAGGGCGTCGAAGCTACACTTATATTCCCAGCATGGCCCCGGGATGCCCCGAAGCGATCCCCATGACCAGGTTTTGTTTCGATTTTCCCGATTCGATTCGACTCGATTTCGATGGTTCTTAATTCCGATTCGATTCGATTTTGGATTCCGATTGGGGCTCTGATTTCTCAACGGAGGCCCATTAGCTTGCCGATTTCCGCCGATTCGATTTCAGCTGCGGATTTCCGCCGATCCGAGTCATTTCGATCGCCGATCCCACGTATCGATTCGATTCTGGGCTCTCCTGCATGACGGTCCAAGATGGCCCCAAGACGCCCCCCGAAGCACTGCCACTTGTGACCCAGTCGTTCAGGGAGACCGCGGTTGGGTGCAGGCTGGCCCGACAAAGCCCCCAGAGGCCCGCAGAAGGAACCGGGAAGGCCTCCAGAAGTCCCAAAGACTTCCGTGAGGCCCCCACACGGCTCTCCTAGGAGGAGTTTCCGCAACGATTTTAAAAGAGGATAGGGGACGAATTTGCAGGGTTGGGCGAGAGTGAGGAAGAGGAGCAATGAAACAGGAGGGAAGGCTACATAGTAACATTATCATAACGACGATGTAGGAAACGGCAACAAGGAGTTATCGCTAAATGTTCCACGGTCTCGTCCTGCCCTCCGCGCCAGCATGGCAAGCATCCAGGACCACGGTGCATGGCGCGGATCACCAGTGCAGTCTTGTATGCACGTGCATATGCACACACGCTCGTATGTGTTGCCGATGGTGTACTAACCATACATGCATATATACATATATGGATGTCTTTATCGTGCTATGTGAGTTCTATCCCTTGTGTTATCACACACCCGCGATTTGGATCACCCCTGGGACACGCACAGGACAATCATGGGACGATTCACGGAACACACACGGGACAATCATAGGGACACGCGGGGCCTACGGATGAGGTGTTGTCCGATTGGCCTAAGGCATACTGTTCGCCCCCTCACAGTTTGGTTTCGTTTTGTTGGGGCTGCTTTGTTCTCACCCATCCAATGTTGGCAAACGGCTGGGCGACGAAATCTATGCATATCCATTGCCCGTTGGTCGGGCCCTCCCTGGTCCCAGAAGTCGTGTATACGCCCTCCTGGCCAAGCCAGGAGGGCGTGGCGAATACACCGATCCTGTGTTCAGGACGGGCCTGACCAGGGAGCAGTGGATATGCCTGGATGTCGTCGCCCTGAAACGGATTCAAAACGCATGGACGCACTCAGAAACATTGACAGGCGGAGAACCAACAATTCCACTCAGTGTATCACAGTGCAGCTATTACACCCCAAGGGCCGCGGTTGAAGCGATTTCCGTTGTCCATCTCTCTTTCTCTCTCTCTCTCTCTCTCTTTCTCTATCTATATTTCTCTCTCTTTCTCTTCCTCTTTTCGGCGTCGACCCAACATATTCATACACTGTGTGCGTCGCCCCCCCCCCACCCCCGCACACACACACACACACACACACACACACACACACGCACGCACGCACGCACGCACGCACGCACGCACGCACGCACGCACGCACGCACGCACGCACGCACGCACGCACGCACGCACGCACGCACGCACGCACGCACGCACGCACGCACGCGCACACACACACACACACACACACACACACACACACACACACACACACACACACACACACACATACACACACACACAAGGGGCGACGCGCGTGCCGAGAAATCTTATAATATCTGCTCAGTTGCGGGCGTTTTCTGGCCATACCGCTCGGGAAACTTTAAACTACACGATGCGTGTACTAGATTGTTCAGCTCGGACAGGTGCCTCCGAGGAAGGCGCAAAGCACTAGCATGTCCCTCTGCGCCCCATCTCTCGCCCTCTCCCCCTCTCTCTCTCTCTTTGCTGTTGCTTGTTTTACCAGCCATCCTGTGGTGTTGGGTCCTCGTTTTGAAGAGGCGGTGCCCCGCGTTCCTCTTTCCTTCCTTCCTCCTTCTTTCCTTCCCTCCTCCCCCTCCTCCCTCCTCCCCCTCCTTGCCTCTGCTCTCGGCACACCTCTCACACGTTTCGTAGCCCCATAGGGAGCTCCACCGAAGGCCCCTGTGGGGGATGGGCGCATGCGGTTCGCTCACCCAGGGCAGCTCTTCGTGGCCCCATAGGGAGCTCCACCGAAGGCCCCAGTGGGGGTGGGCGCATGCGGTTCGCTCACCCAGGGAAGCGTTTCGTGGCCCCGTAGGGAGCTCCACCGAAGGCCCCAGTGGGGGTGGGCGCATGCGGTTCCCCCACCCAGGACAGCGCTTCGTGGCCCCATAGGGAGCTCCACCGAAGGCCCCAGTGGGGGTGGGCGCATGCGGTTCCCCCACCCAGGGCAGCGCTTCGTGGCCCAATAGGGAGCTCCACCGAAGGCCCCAGTGGGGGTGTTCGCATGCGTCTCCCCTGCCCAGGACAGCGCTTCGTGGCCCCATAGGGAGTTCCACCGAAGGCCTCAATCGGGGTGTTCGCATGCGTCTCTCCCACCCAGGACAGCGTTTCGTGGCCCCATAGGTAGCACCACCGAAGGCGCCAGAGGCGCAGTTCGCATGCGTCTCCCCCACCCATGACAGCGCTTCGTGGCCCCATACGGAGCTCCAGCGAAGGTCCCTTTGGCGCAGTTCGCATGCGTCTCCCTCGCCCAGGGCAGCGTTTCGTGGCCCCATAAGGAGCTACACGGAAGGCCCCCGTGGCGGTGTCCACATGCGTCCGCGCCACCAATTTCGGCGCACCCCTCACAAGTTTCGTGGCCCCATAGGAGCTCCACCGAAACCGGTACCCACAATGCGGTACTCGCAATTGCATGTGGTTGGGTCTTTCGTCCGGCTATTTTTTTTGTTTTCTATCTCTCTCTCTCTCTCTCCATGTGTATATCGCGTTTTCTTTCTTTCAATATACTTCATCGCCTCCGGCCCAATGTATACCTAGGCCTCCTTGATGTTCGTTATAATGTCGTAGGAGGCATTTCCGGAGTCTCACGGAGGCAGTTTTGATGTTTCTTGCCTCCCGACACACAGCATACATATATACATGTACATATATACAACCGATATGCAGATGTCACGATATAGACGTATGTTTGTGTGAAGTTCGTGTTGCCGCGTAGACTATCGTGAGTCACAAGACACGAAGGGGGCACCCCAGGGATAATCGCAGACACTTGCGGACAAGCACTGGGCATTTACATGCTTGGCTCGAGACAACCACGGGCCACTCACAACCCGTTGGGCGATTCCGCTTCTTCGTTTTCTCCTTCCCACATTCTCGATGCATCCGTGTGTGCTTACATGTGCATGTACTCATACCTTGACGCACGACATGTATATGTGCGCATCGTCATAGCTTCGCTTTCTCCCCAACGCACTCCGGCTACCTTCACGTCTTCTCGTTTAGTCCAGGCCTCCATGGATGTTCACGCGCCTTCTTTTTGATCCGTATCCGTCCAGGGCATTTGTTCAAAACAGTTTTCTTGCGCAGGGTCGGCAACGTGAACAAGAGGGTCACGGTGCAGTGCAGGACCTTGGTGCGACCTTCCCCCAAGACTTTGGGTTCATTCGCTGCACTATCCGCCCAGGAAGGGGAGGCTATGAAGTGAAGGAGGGGAGCGTTAGCATGGTTTGACCGATCCCTATCCCCATGCTCATCCCCTTCGAGGCCCCCACCAAATTACACCCCCAGTTGGGGATGCACCCCTCGAAACCCGCAGGACTCGGCCTATATCCCCATCTAGGAGGGGTAAATCGGCCCGTGGGGCCCAGCCCACGCTGCTGTGCGGGGGATCGGTTAAACGATACTCATCGGTCGTTGAAAGTATGTTTTGGGGGATTCCCACATTTCGATCTACTTTAAGCGCCTTCCTACTTCACTGATCGAGTGGCTTCCCCTCTTCCCTCCTCTCCAGGGGGCGGGCGGAGACCCGATCTGCTCTCAACGCCTTCCTACTCCATGCTTCTACCTACTTCTTCCGACCGGTGGGTTCCTCCGCCCCGAGCTCCAGGAGGCCGCCGCCAGTGTCCCGGAAGCCCGCGGCGGCCAGGAATTCTAGGGCGCCTTCGGGGGGGGGGGCGGAGGAGCAGGAGGAGGAGGAGGAGGAGGAGGAGGAGGAGGAGGAGGACGAGGAGGAGGAGAAGGAGGAGCGACGACGAGCGGGAGGATCAGGGGCGGCGACGACGACGACGGCCGACCTGCGCAGGCTCCTCGGGGTCCGAGCTCGGCGCGTGCGCGCCGGAGTCCTCGAGAGGTCTCTCCAGGGGCCCCCCGTGGCTGGCCCCCGGGCTGCAAGGAGAGCTGCTATTCGAGCTCGGGCACTCCAAATTGACTCTCCTGCCTCCTCCTGCTCCTCCTCCCTCTCCCTCCTCCTCCCTCCTCCTCCTCCTCCTCCTCCTCCTCCTCCTTCCTCTCCTCCTCCTCCAGCCGCTGCAGCGGCCCAGACTACCCCCCTTTCCCGCGGCACTTCAGTACACTTCCTTACAAAGTCAGGTGTTTCAGCGGCATGGCTTCTCCCTCGAGGGGCTCTCCTCGCCCATGAGAGAGGGGGTCGGGGCCCCCCGCGCGAGGCGCTGGCTCCTCGCCGTGAGCGCCTTCGCCTTCCTGCAGCTGGGCGTACTTGGCGCCCTGGTGATGGAGAGGACCCGCCCCCACGCTGAAGATGGCAACACATTCACACTTCGGACGTGCGTCTATAATCCCATGTTCCTGACGGGGGCTACGCGGGCATCGGAGGTCTCTGACGAATTCAAAAATATTGGAGCTATCATGCTGCCAGGTACCTCCCGTCGCCAGACAGAGGACACACACTCACTTTTCCTTCATCCTTATCACTGGGAACTGAGTTTTGGGTGGACGAGGGCCTCCAACAAGAGTTGCGGGGTGTCGATCTTCCTCCACCAGAGGCGCTTCCCGAGGAATTTCATTCGTAAGATTTTCACGCCGCCCAGTTTCTTAAGTGGACGTGGCGGAGCAGTACGTTTAAAATCACAGACCTCGGACGTTCTATTCATGGTGCTCTACTTCCCAACTCTTCCGTCTCTCCGCGGCGGACGTACACAGTATCGGAACGTCGTGCTGGGACTTTGCAACTGGGCGAAGTCGGTCATCAACGGAGTGGGCTCCAGGTGCACACCGTTTGTTGGCATCGATTTGAATGACCAACTGGGCTTCTGCGCAGACGACACATTGGACGGCGAGTGCGTCACGGCCCCACGGGACACCAGTACACACGGAGCCGATTGGGACTGGGAACGGGAAGCCGCCGCACACGTGGGCCCTTGTGGTGCTGAGTTGGAGCATTTCGCTGGCAAGAATTGGCACCAGGTGCTGAGGGACACGGCGCTGAGCGCGATCAACACGCACTACCCAGCTGGGCCAACGTTTCACGGGCCACTGGGACACACGTCGCGGATAGACTTTATCCACGCTCCGACGGGCTTGCTTCCTCACGTCCGAGTCTGCCGTGTTCTTCGACCTGCGGGGAGGCGGCTCCAGCCCGTGAGTACCCTGGACGACAGGGACCACCGCCCCGTCTTCATGGAATGCAGCTACCGCTTCGAGGCCAGTTCTACCCAGAGGCAGTGCTGGGATTTCGATACCATGTCGCGCATCCTGCGCGGCGGGGAGGAGTGCACCTCTGCGGTGGAACGGGTCCACGAAGCCATCCTGGCCATCCCTGAAGATGAATGGGTACGGCTTTGCTCACGGCCTACGACAGACGAGCTGTGGAACTCTATTTCGGTGCTGCTCAGGGAGGCGGCGCTGACGGAGTTTTTACGCCCTTCACCTTCGGCGGCTGAGAAGTCGGTTCTGGAAAGGCTGCGTTCGGAGATCCTGGCACGTCGCCGACGGTTGCGTGAACTTCATATTGGTCGAGACTCGGGCCGAGCGGGGGGCGCGGCGCGAGTGGGGACTGCCCGGCGGTGCGCCGTTAGTGACCCTCGCACCGTTGCTCCCCGTCAGGCACGCGCGGACGTCGAACTGGAACTGGCGAGGATCACGTTCAGGCTCAGGCAGCTGTCACGCCAGATCACCAAGGAACGCAACTCCCTGCTGGTCGGGGAGCTCAACTCCGCCTGGAGGGAGCACGACCACTTCGCCGTGCAGACTCTGCTTCGGCGACTGGCCCGCAAGGGCAGAGGGCCCCGACATCGGAAGTACTTCAAGGCACGAGAGGAGAACTGCGAACCACAGGACATCGCCGACTTCTTACGCTTGCCCGCTCAGCAGGGCGGACTCTCGGCGGTGGACTGCGACCTACGGGCGGAGCTGACGGAGCGCTTCGACCGCACCTACGAGGGGGACGAGGCTCACCGCACGGACCAGCAGCGCTACGACACGATGCAGATGGCAGATTTAGAGACGGCAGATCAGGACCTTTCGGGCGTCATCAGGGCGCTCCGCAGGGCACCGAAGAGACGAGCTACACCCGCGTGGAGTATGCCGTCGGAGCTCTGGCTGATCCTGATCGACCCCGACCAGTGGCACAAGTTCAAACGTGGTGGAGTGGGTTCGTGCCCTACCCCTGCGACGGCACAGGCCTTCAGGGAAAGAATGCTCGACATCATCGGATCCTTTCGGCGGACTTCCTCCACCCCACTGGTCTTCGACATCTCCCACATCGTGGGCCTGGACAAGGACAATGGCAAGCCAGGACCGCTCGGACAACGTTGGATACATCTCTTCTGCCCGATGGGCAAGGCGTGGAACGCCCATCTTTGGAATCGGGCTCGTCGCCACCGTGACCCACTTCCGTATTTTTGTCACGGCTTTGCTCGTCGCCGCCGGCGCGAAGACGCCATCGCGGTGCAGGACTGCTTGAGCTGGAGGCTCCAGAAGTTATCGCTATCACACGCCATCATCAATGAAGATGCCACGAACGCTTTCGCCAGCACGACACGAGAGACGATCTTGAATTGCCTCGAGTCCCTCTACCTCCCCGAGGACGTTAGGTTCCAGCACTCTCGCACGATGCAGACGGCGATGCAGATCATGGGACCCGACAGGCCCATCTCCCTCAGGCCTACCTCTGGAGAGCTCATGGGACACCCTAATCCTGCCAGAGGCTTCCCTTATTTCTATCTTCAGGGCCTGGAGGCTTTTCTGAGCTGGAGGGCGGGGACGAGCTCGTACACGTATTCACAGGCGGAGGAGGTGGACGGCACACGCACGGACACGGGCATCACACTGTACGCCGACGATATCACGAAGACGGTGATCCCAGGAAGAGGACCTGAACCCTTTGGAGGAGGAGGAGAGGCACGTCACCTTACCGCACTGGCACAGGTTAGCAGCAGTAAGTTAGCATCCTCCCTGGACGGCATCGGCGTGGGGCTCAACGAGGGCAAGCGAGTCACACTGGCTAGGCTTTTTGGGAAAGGCTGCATCGCCCAACGCCGCCTCCTGCATGCAGGCACTCTGCGTCTCTCTGGGCAGTTTGGCAGATTTATGCGCATCCTCGGCGGTTGGCTGACGGTGCAGGGATCGCTGCAGATTGAGAAAGGAAAAAGATTCCAGGCTGGACGGACTGGCCTCGGCATCATCTCTAACTTTCTTGTCCACGAGGCTGCCCGCGGCATCAAGCGCATGGCCATCCTTTCGTACGTGCAAGGTGCTCTCTTGTCGGGGATGGAGGGGAGGGTCCCAGATAAAAGTTTCACGGTCGAGGGTGACAAGATCATGATGAGGGCGATGCGCAGGGGTCTCGGGGTCAAGGGCACTGAGGACCACGACGGGGTGCGCTGGAAGTGGAGCTCTCACAGGGTATGGGCCTACTGGCAGATCCTTCCCTTGGCAGACGAACTGCGACTTCGGAGGCTACGCTGGTATCAGTCCTGGATTAAATACCCTAGCGCCCACAGGCAAGCTCGGGCATGCATACTAGGCACGATCAATGACATACCTAGCATGAACGACGACTGGACCATCCACGAAAAGGCTAACCCCTGGGCCCGTCAGGTACTTGAGGACCTCCAGTTTGCCAGAAGCCAGTCTGAGGAGTTCGCTGACTTGGTTCCAGAAGATTTTCCTCTCTTGGGTCTATTTTACACTAAGGAGTTCGACGACTGGGCCTCGATTGACCTCACAGTCATCAGGGCCACCTATTTTTCTAAAGCGATCGCACCACCTAGTGGGCCCTCGGTGGCCCCGAGTATCGTGATGGAGGAGGAGGTGGAGGAGGAGGTGGACGCCCCTGGCGAGTTCGTCTGCAATCTGAAGAACTCAGAGGGGCAGCGGTGTGGTGACACATTCACCAGCATGAAAGCTCTTTTATTACACGCAGGCAGAGTTCACAAAGTTCGAAACGAGGCAGCACTTCTCACGGTCACGAACCAGTGTTTCAGGTGCCTCCAGGTTCTCAGCACTCGGGAGAATGCTCAGCGACATGTTATGAGGTCTTATGCCCACAATCGCTGCGCTCTTGGACGCAGTAGCTACACGGCGGCAGAAGTTGTTCAACCTTTTTCACTCGAATGCCCCGTATGCAGCTTCACGGCTCAAGATCTCCGACAACTGCAGGTACACATACGCACACACTGTGCCCTGGGTGCTCCTACTCTCCCTCGGCCTCGGCTTCGACCGCGGCATGTCGCAACCAGACGCGGAGTCCATGGACCTGGAGCTGCTGATCAAGAAGCACAAGCGCAAGGCAGGCGACGGCGAGGACCTCGGAGGAGCACCCTCGGGGAAAAAAAAGGCCAACCTCGGGGACGCAGCAGACGATGCAGAAGACGGTCTTCAGCAGGTCGAGGGGGCCCTTCGGGCTCGAGACATGCAGCAGGCCATATCGATTTTGCTCAAGATGGCGTGCATGCACGCGCAGCTGCTGAGGGACCTGGCGGCGTCGGAGTGGGTGTGCCTGGTCGTCCCGTCGCTGAGCTTCCTGGTGGTCGCAGGGCGAGGAGCAGGCAAGATGTACGCGGAGGCGGCAGCCATCGCGGCAGCGAAGCCCCACCTGGGGCCACCACATTTGTACATAGCGCGCGGCGTGTTCAAGTCGATGGCCGATTCAGAGAAGCTGCAGAAGCTGGGGACTCAGGCATACCAAACCCTGGTCCTTTTTTACGAGAAGTTCGTGTCGATCAGCTCGGCCGCGGAGCTAGGATTAGTGATCAGGCACTTCCGTTTGAAGAAGTGCTACAACGAGGAGTACACACGACTGCAGTTCGCGATCGGCGGGGACATCACGGTGCAGCTGGCGGACGCTCAAGGGGGTCCGCCCGAGCGTCACCTGAGCAAGCTGGAGGTGGAGCAGTCGATCATCAAGCTAGCCCAGCTGGAGGACGCGAAGCTCAAGCTCGGGACCGCCCCTCAGGGGCACTTGGAGACCATGGCGCAGCGCATCCTCGACAAGACGAAGCAAAAGAGCAAGGGCAAGGGCGCGAAGTAAGACAGCCAGATACGGGCCCCGCCCCGTGGGAGGCTCGTCGGGCTGCCCTCTTTGCCCGCATCAGAGCACGGGAACTCTCGCAGAATGACATTGTATGACGGACGTCCTCCTCGCACCCACGGACCTGATGCCGACCTCGGCGCGCTCTCTCTCGTTCTTTGATGATGTTATGTGGTGTATTCGCGGCCTTGTGTGCACGACCGCGCTGACCTCCACCGAGTACCTGACTGCCACGTGACCTCGATGCCCGAGGCCCCGTTCCTCTAGGCCGCGCCGAGCGGGGGGCGCGGCGCGAGTGGGGACTGCCCGGCGGTGCGCCGTTAGTGACCCTCGCACCGTTGCTCCCCGTCGGCACTGTCCTCACTGTCTTCTCGGAGTGGCCATCTTCCAGAATTCGGGGACCCACACTCCCCTCCGCTGCTTCCTCTGCTCTTCTCCTGCTTTGGCCTCGCCCTCTTGCCTCGTCGCCCTCTCTCCTGCGTCGTTCCCCTTTCGTCCGTCGCTTGCTGGAGTGTGGGTCCCTCCTCGGGGCGGGGCGGGTGCCTCGGAGGCCTGCCCGTCGCCCGCAGCGACGTGGGCTCGGCACTGGGAGGCCAGTGGGGTGTCCCCCCCAGCCCTCGAGGGGTCTCACGATTTGCGACTGCCTGGGTACGATCACGTACGACAGGCTGCACGGCGCGCGCTACTCACGACCTCATCGCACTCGATCGATGATCGTTCGAGGTAGGGCTCTGATTGCACGGGTTCACGCGCGGTCAGGGATCGGCACAGACCACGCGCAAGGCCGAGTCTTTTTCTTCTTCTTCCTCCTCCTCCTCCTCCTCCTCCTCCTCCTCCTCCTCCTCCTCCTCCTCCTCCTCCTCCTCCTCCTCCTCCTCCTCCTCCTGTCTCTCTCCTCCTCCTCCTCTCCTCCTCCTCCTCCTCCTCCTCCTCCTCCTCCTCCTCCCCTCCCCCTTCTTCCCCCCTTCCTCTCCTCCTCCTCTTGCCTCCTCCTCCTCTTGCCTCCTCCTCCTCCTCCTCCTTCGCTGCCTGTCGTCCTCTGTCCATTTCTATCCTCCCCCCTTTCTGTCCTACAGTCAAGACGCTGAAATAAGGAACAGTTTGGGTTCGGAAGGGGCTCGATTCCTCCAGTGCTGTTCCTCTTGCCCTCCTGGGGCACGGAGGCGCTTACAGGGCCAGGACGGGGCTACGTTCCTTTTTCAGCGTTCCTTCTTTCCGCGGCTCGACTGTACCAGTGGTGGCCAACGAGCCATTTCCCTCTTGGAGGACTCTCTGCGTCTTGTCGACGCGGTCGCGGCCGCAGGCGCTGGCGTTCAAGGTTGGGCTCCGCCAGTGGCCCAGAGTTGGTCGACATCGAACGGCTGGCGCTATCGGCAAGTTGCGATCGTTCAGTCTTGAGCGGCCCGCGCGGAGTTAAGCACAACGCGCATTCGTCTGTCCTTCTCCTCGTCCACCTCCTCTTCTTGCCCCACCTTCTCCACTTTGCATCCACGCGCATCTCCACCCTTGCGGTCCCAGGTGTGCCAGGGCTCATCTCGATTCGATCGATCCGACTCGACGCCGAGTTCGCCCGTCTCGATCCGATTCGACCTCAATCTCCCCGCAGTGTAGCGCGGCCCGATGTCTGCACAGCGTGGCCGCGTATGCGGCCGCAGCCGCTCCGATCCGTCTTCAACTCCGGGCCCGACCTTCCACGCGCGCCCCGACGCGATCCGATCCGACCTGCCATCCGACGCCGACTGGTGCTGCACCCCGCACCGCTCCGCCCGGGCGGTGCCCGGGGCCCCCCACCGGTGGGGGGTCGGGGGCGTTCCACGCTGCGTGTGTGGCAGGCAGAGGCCCGCCGGGTGGCCCGGCCGTCCGTCTGCTGAGGCGGGCGCCACCTGCATCTCACGTTGGAGGACGAGTGTAAATCGGGATCTCGCACAGGGAGGAGGAGGAGGAGGAGGAGGAGGAGGAGGAGGAGGAGGAGGAGGAGGGGGAGTGTGCCCCAGGGGGTGAGTCCGATCGTTTTTTGCACCGAACCGCCCAAAACAGATGCCCCCCAGCCACCGCAGCTCCCGGTAGTTGCCGATTGGTGGGGTGGGGCATGCGGGGGCATTGGTTTGCGGCAGTTCGGTGACTAATGGATCGAACTCACGCCTCCCCGAAGGGTTACCCCCTTGGTGGATTCGCTCTGGGACGCTCTCAGAGCGTTCTGGAATGCTCTGAGAAGGCCGCGGCGCCCGAGACAGCCCCAGAGCCGCCAGATCTCAGAGAGTCGAGATTTTATCCGAACCCGATGTTGTCCTCGTCTTGGCTTCGTCTTAGCAAGAGTGGCCTTTGGTGCGGGCCCATTTGGGTCCCCAGATCGTCGAGCGCGATGTGGCCGTAGCGCCTCGCTCGCTTGGATTTGACCCCCCCCCCCGCCCCCGCGGCTCCCGACAAGCCGCGCACCAGCGGCCACACCTTGCCTGGGGTCATTCTCTCGTGTGGCCGATCAGCACATGCCCGCATCCACCCCCCTGCCCACCCACCAAGCGAAAACATCTGCGGCAGAAGGCCACAGCACCGCTTTGCAAAGTTGCGACAAGCGGGGGCCACGATGAGGGGCCACGGTGGGGGTCCACGATAGGGGGATCGGTCGGGACAGGGGTGGGCATGGCAACGGGGATCGGGAGGCAGCGCGGAGGCGTTTGCATGCCTGGCTGCGCAACGACTTGCGCAGCTCCCAAAGGGCCCGGACTGAGCCTTTGGGTGGGGTCGAGCGCCGCGGCTGCGCGCGTGCTCGCGTCCGCACGTCAAAAAGAGGCCACGAGAGGCCACGGAAGGCAATGGGAGGCCACGGGAGGCCATGATCGGCAACGGGAGGCAACGACGCCGCACGTCAGATTCCGACGCTAAAGCTTTTATTTGCAGGTTTTCGCGGACGGGGCTAGGACGAGAAATGCATATGTTCCAGAGCGTTCCAGAACCTTCGCAGAGCGTTCTGGAACGCTCTGAGAAGGCCGCGGCGCCCGAGACACCTTTCAGAGCCGCCAGATCTCAGATATTCTCGTTGAATCTTCCCCCGATCTTCCGACTGTGTCCTCGTCCTGGTTTCGTCCTTCTCTTCGGGGGGAATCAGACGCTCCCCGCGCATCCCGCGAATCTTCGAGACGGCTGTTTCCTCGAGCGCCAGCTCCGGCGGGGCCCTCGCCTCGAGTCGGGTGCCTTGGATCTTGCCCAGGGTCGGGTGTTGCTAGAGAGATGCCCAGGGCCCGAGGTGCCCCTTGGATCTTCAAGGAGGCACCCACGGCCTCCAGAGCACCCCTGACGAGGCCCAGAGAGCCCAAAGGGCTCCAAAACTGAGCCTTGACACCTCGGGCCAGAGGGCTGCGGGTGGGAAGTGGTGCGAGCACGCGACGATCAGGATGCAACTCCTGGAAGGTTAAATTCAGCATCGGCGCTCTTCGCTCCGGAGTCGAGTGCCGGCATGATCCCGCCTGATCCAGCTCAATCCCGCTTAATATCCGGTTTCCTCCAGCTTTTTCGTTAGGTTCACTCGGCGTATTTCTCGAATTCGATCGCCCTTCACGAACAAATGCAAATCGGAGGAACACGTGACGGGATATCTTTCTGCGGCAGTCCTATTGCCAGATCGATCCGCGAGGGTCCTTGGGCCCGCAGAGGGGGGAAATTGTTAGGTCTGCAGAAGTCGCGATGCCAGGATCTCAGGGTCGGTTGTTTCTAGGGGTGCCCTTGGCCCAGGGTGCCCCTAGGATGTCCAAGGAGGCCCCGAAGACCTCCAGAGCACCCCCCACGAGGCCCAGATGGCCCCCGGGGCTCCAACGTGGAGCCAGCAGCCGGGGGCACCGTGGGCCAGGGGCACGCTTCGCAGCCACCGTCAGGCCCCGTCCCCCCCGGGCCGCGCTCGAGGACCCGCCCGGGCACGGCCGCGGCGTGGAGCGAGGCGGAGAAGACCGGGGACTACAAGTCCCTGGACGAGACGCTGGAGTTCCTGGAGGCCCGCCGCCCGCCCGCCGCCAGGCCGAGGCTGCGGGGGCCCCGCTGGCCGCTGTCTCTGCTGCTCCACCTCCTCCTGCCCCTTCTCTTGGCATCGCTCGGGCGTGTGCTTTGTTTCTCGGCGAGGACCTTCGAGGAATATCCAGGATCATCGAGCTGGAAAGCACGCACAGAACCTTGACATGCACGTGGAACGGATATCCGAGCGAGGGCAGGTTCTCGCGTCAGATGTTGGAGCCGCCTGGGGGTCCAGGATGGCACAGCAGTGGTCCTGGGCAGCAGGAAGGGCGGGCAGGTTCGAGGTCCTGGGTTCAGGGTTTTTGTTGTCCGTTGTCGGTCTTATGGGGCCGTCTTCGGGCCGCGGGACTGGAAACTGGATCGGGGGTGAAACAAATCACCAGATAGGCCTTGGCCAGGCTTCGGCGACCGATTTTGAGCGGATGTTGCCTCATCCCCCCCTCCTTGCCGATCTTCTGGTGTCTCATGCTACGCGGTTTGGGAAGTTTTCTCGACCCATTGCCTTGTGGAGGCGAGTTAGTCTCGCGAGCAGGTGCATTTTTGCTGGCACGCATCTGCAGGGTTGTTCGTTCGTGCACCCCCTTCTCCATCACTGCTCTGGCCATGGACACGACAGGGCCGCTTTTGTTACGTGCTCCGTTCTGCAGAGCTTGCCTTTCTGGTGCTGGCGCCGTCGGCTTTCCCAGTTCGCGCGCCGTGTTTTATTTGTCAGCTCCGCTTCCAGCTCCAATCCCGAAGCAGCTTTTGTTCGGCGTGAGGAGGAGGAGAAGGATAAGGAGGATAAGGAGGATAAGGAGGAGGAGGAGGCCGAACAGGTCTTTGACAGTTCTTGTGAAAACGGCCGAACACAATACCGAGAGATCGCCCTGCCGCCTCTGGGGCCCACGCATCCCAGATGGGGTCCGAGCAGACGGGGTCGGAGGGGAGGGTCGTGCCGTATCGCCAAGGCATCACCGGTGCATGCAGTGCCGATGCATCGGCGGTGCGGCGCGTGCCTCGGGTCGGCTTCTCAGCAGGAGGTCGGGAAAATGAGATGCTCCAAGATTGGCAGGCTCTCAGCTGGGCCCGTGCAGACTCCACGTGTGGACTTCTCATGCTGCTGTTGTCGCTCCTGCTCCCTAGGGAAGGAGGGATAGAGAGAGGAGGTCGGGAGCTAAAGCGAGGACGCGAGCGACGAGGACGAGGACGAAGAGGTCATGTTGTATGTTCTTCCAGGGGGGTCACCGACACTAGATTGTAGTGGGGTGCGGGTGTTTTGGACGTAGGAGGAGGAGGGGAAGGAGGAGGAGGAGTAGGAGGAGGAGGAGGAGGAGGAGGAGGAGGAGGAGGAGAAAGAGGAGGAGGAGGAGGAGGAGGAGGAGGAGGATCAGGAGGAGGAGGAGAAAACCCTGGCCTTCGTCAGGCTCTCCTGTCTGGGGGGAGCCTTTGCGAAGGAGATCCCCTGGGTCCTCCTACAGCGCCCTTCCGTCCAGGCCCAGCTGCCTAGGCCTGTTCGCCCCGCCGGCTTTGGCCTATCAGCGCGCCCTGGTCCCCTCGGGGATCGGGGCGGACAGGCCGTAGCGAGTGTCCCGGAGTCGGGGCTTTGAGCGGATGTGGATGGTCTCCGCTCACCACGCGGGCATACATGGTATCCGCCTACAGCCCTGAGATCTTGGCGTTGCATTTTTTTCGCAATTGGCGTTTTCCGTCGATTTCGGGCCTCGATCCCGCCCCAAGAGATAATGCAGAAAGATTGGGGCTAGGGATCCGGGTGTGATTTTTACGGACATCTCAGGGAACGATGGTCTCTGCCTGCCGCTGATCAGTGCGCCTGGTCCCCTGGGGTCGGGGCGGACTGAGGTCGTAGTGGTTGGCTGGGGGTCGGGGATTGCAGCAGATCCGGATGGTCTCCGCCTACCACGCGGATGGTCTCCGCCTGCCACGACTACCACGCGGATGGTCTCCGCCTACCACGCGGTAATAATGCCCTGCACGGCACGGACAGGCTGGTTAACCCCAGGGCGGATCTTTTTGTCCAAGCTCCCTTTCCGCATCCACAGGCGCCCCGCTTGGGACACTCCAGGTGCAAGGCGGGTGACATCCATATGAAATGCTTCCAGGTTGCCTCCTGCAGAAGTAGCAGGAGAATCTCCTGCTACTCCTGGAGACAACTGGGGGGGGGGGGGCCCTTCCACCGAAACTGTCTACGAACGGGGTACGGATGTAGGAGCCGAATGAGGTTACGCCGCGGCTGGTCCGCCTCCAGGCTGCCCTCGGGATGCTGTCCCTGCAGCCCCCAAAGATCGCTCGCAGTAGCCATCAACCAACTTTCCGTCGGCGGATTGCGATGCAGGGGGTATCGACTCCCTGTCAGGGACCGGCTTCCAGTCCCGTGCTGTTTTCCACGGTTTATGGGCCGGTGGGCGGCTTCGGGAGGCCGAAAACTTTTGAAAGAATGTGTCCGTCGCTACTCTTGTGGCGACGCCCTGATCTGCGGGCAGGGTTGGGGCCTCCGAGTGAGAAGCGCTCCTCTCGCGAGCAGATCCCGTCACCGAGGCCGAAAGCGTAAAAACAACGGGCGTCGCGAGTTGTTGCCACGCCCGAATGTCGGCCACGCGCAGAGGGGGTCTGGGGGTGGGGGGAAACCTTCTTCGAAACTCCCTTGCTGTTCAGAAGGCGCGGGCCGTGACTTTTGATGTAGGGCCGGCGCCTTCTGAGAAGCAGCCTCCCTCCGAGAAGCCTTCCCCCCTCCCCCTACCCCTTGAGCGCGCCACCAAGGATGGCGGGGCAGGAGGTCAGGGGCGGCCTAGCCGACCCCAAGCATTAAGTTGGGCGTGTCCCTCTAGAGGAGGAATAATCAAGAATAGTAAAATGATAGTGTGGAGACGACTTGTCTTGCTCTTTTGACTACTTCTGTTCCCAACCATCATGAAGTGTTGGGTCTTTGTTTTGAAGAGACAGTGCCCCGCGTTCCTTCCTTCCTCCGCTCCTCCTCCCCCTCCTCCTCCTCATCCGCCCCCCTCTCCTCATCCCCCTCCTCCCTCCTCCCTTCCCTGCCTCTGCTTTCTGCATGTCCACCATGTCGGCATACTCCTCACACGTTTCGTGGCCCCGCAGGGAGCTCCACCGGAGGGCCCAGTGGCTGTTCTCGCATGGCGCCAGCGCCCATTTCGGCACAACCCGCACGCGCTTTGTGGCCCCATGGGGAGCTTCATCAGGCGCCAGTGGCTGCGCTCGCATGGCGCCGCTGCACCCATGTCGGCACACCCCTCAAACGTTTCGTGGCCCCATAGGGAGCTCCACCGAAGGCCCCAGTGGCTGCGCTCGCATGGAACCACCGCACCTTTTTCGGCACACCCCTCACACACGTTCGCATGCGCCCACCGCGCCCATCTCGGTACATCCCACACACGGTTCATGGCCCCATGCGGAGCTCCACCGAAGACGATATTCACAATTGCATTTAGTTGGGTTTTGTCGCCAGGCCATGTGTTGACTCTTTTGTATCTTCTTTCAACCTTTCGTGAAGCCCCCCTTGCCTCGCCCCGAGTTGTGTGTGTGTGTGTGCGGCCGGAGGGAAGCTTGCAGGGCGAGGAGGGGGTCGCGGAGGGAGATGGTTTGCTGGGGGTCCGTTGGGCCGCGCCCGCGGAGGAGGACGCGACATGCGGGGTGAGCGAGTGGGACCAGCCGCGGAGCGAATCTGACGGAACCAGGAACCCTGGCGAGCGAGCTCAGCGCGACTCCGAACCTTGGGGCCATTGGCCAACGAAGATCCCAGATGAATGCTGGGCTCGACTGGAGCTCTTAGTTTCCAGGCATGGTTGCGCGAGACCTCCTAGCTATCTGACTTGCAAAGCACCCGCAGCGGCAGCAGAACCAGAGCTGAAGGGTACTGAGCAAACGCATTCGATGGGATTCATGCACCCTGCCCCCCGCTATGTGCTGCCTGCCCCCCGACGGCACTCCGAGCACATCCCCATTTAAGTATGTTCGCTGAGGGTGGCTGTGGAGCGGGCGGTCCGGCCGCAGCCGCAGGGGGAGTCGCACAAGTCGATCTCGATAGACATCGTGAACGACGAGGAGGTCGAGGGCGACGAGGACGTGGCCGCGAGCACCTACCACGCAGATCTCACGTCCTCCCCCAAACACATGAGTATAGATATACACTTGTGCACAATTGTATGTGAATGCTTCTTTATTTTTAATTACATATGTATACATGTATGTATATGTATATGTGTGTATGTGTGTTCATTTTTTGTTTATACATAGATACGAGACTGGCCTGGGGGATGGGCGAGGGGTTTGCCCGTGGATCTGGCATTCAGGATTCCCTCCCTGGGGCGTGGTTTTTGCATTCTAAACATGGCCCCGGGCGATGGAATCTGACTGGGCGGGCATCGAGCTGTAAGAGACGGGGTCGAGTTAAACAGGAGGTAGCCAGCGCGCCGGATCTTGCAGGATCCTGCCGAGCCAGGGGTGCATTGGCCCGGCTTTCGCGCAGGATCTTGCAGGATCCTGCAGGTTCTCTCAGACTTACCCGGAGTTTGCATTGACCCGGGTCAGTGGGGACCACCAGCCCAGATCATTGCATACCCGATTTTTTCGGTCGCGATCGGTCGCGGCCGATCGGCCTTCCAAATCGGTCGCGACCGATTTTGAAGCAAACCGGTCGCGCGGGATGCCGAATTCTGAAGCAAAATCGGTACCGACCGATCTCGTCGGTCGCGACAGGGAAAGTCCAGTATCCAGTTGATCAGGGGAAGGGGAGGGCGCGGAAAGCAAAAAAAAAATCCGGGGGACCGCCAGGGCCCCCGGCTCCTCCCCTCGGAGAGGCAGCAGCGGCCTGGGCACCGCCTCGTCGGTCCCCGCGGGTCTCTGCGACGGGGCGCCAGACTCCCCCCTCTCTGGGTGGGGGGAGCGCGCTGGGAGCGGTGCCGCAGGCGACGCCTCCTGATCCCTATCCTCCTTTTGTGATGTTCCGACCTAGTCGGGGGAGGACAGAACCCCCAACAGTGACACGTCGATTAGTGAATTGTCCGTTTTCGGTTCTCGAGAGGGCGCCGTGGCCGTTATTTTCCAGGCTTGCGCCCGCCAGGTTTGGGACTCAGGTCGTTTTCACTAAACCACGTTTTGCTAAAGGGAGGTCTGTCCATCCCCGAATGTTCCGACCTAGTGACCTAGTGTCGATCTGATCACCAGAAAGAGTTCCGAGCACCAAAGAGGTCCCGAAGCTTGAAGGTTTTCACGTGTCGGGCCCGTCCTGGGTGCTCGAAATTCTTGACGCTTCGCGTATCCCCACCTCCCGGAGGTCGTGTACGCACAGGGTGCCATGTGAATGAGCCCACCGCGTTTCTAGGCCTTCTGTGCTCTGTTCCGTTTCGTCTCTGTACTTTCCTGTGCTGCGCCTCTCGTGGGTGCCAGGTTGCAGGTCCGCGTAGTTACTGTTCCATTTACGCGTTGGTGCCTCCAGGTGCCCTTGGTCCGCTGGCACCGGTCCAGTGGTCCCTGCTTGCGTCTCGCCTCTTGCCGCGGGCCGGCGTAGCATCAGCCTGCGCAGTGCCGCTGCCCTGTCTCCCATCGGTCAGGTTTCCCCACCTCTGGGTCTGGTTTGTGCTTTTCTGCCGCTGGCATCCGCCCAGTGGTTTTTGCATGGTAATCATCTGGCACTGCGCCCCATTACCTCACCGCCCTCTGGGCTTTTCCTTGCGGGCCGCAAATCACAAAAGTATCCCCACCAACCCATCCAGAAACGATGTCCAGGCAAGTTGAAGAGGTCAGGGAACTGGGGGAGCAACGAGAGGGACAGCCGATCCGTGCAAAGGATGAGGCGGAAGAGGAGGCCAGATGGATAGATGAGGGGGTGGCGAGGAACCGAGCGAAGGAGGGATGAGGAGAATGATGACGCTGGGTGGATGGTTGAATGCCGCTCGGAAGCCTTTTTGGGGGCCTCTTCGGGCGTCTTGGGGGTCTCTTGGCGGTCAATGGGGGCTCTTGGGCGTCTTGGGTGCTTCGGGGGGGCCCCATTGAGGCCGCTTCGGGTCCTCTTGGGGGGCTCTTGGGGGCCTGTTGGAGGCCGCCTGGGGCCTCTTAGGGGTTTTGTTGGAGCTTCACGGCGGCCTCTTGGAGCCTCTTGTAGGCCTCTTGGAACCATCCTGGGAGTCTCTTGGAGCCTCTTGGGGGCTTCTTGGGGCCTCATGGCGGCCTCTTGGGGCCTCTTGGCGGCCTTTTGGAAGCCTCTTGGGGCCTCCTGGGCGCCTCTTGGCGCCATCTTGGAGGAGATCGATCAAAGAAGAGGGTGGAGTCAATTAGCCCTGCCCCCCCAAAAGGCCAAAATGGGGCCAACACCCTTGTAAAAACGATGATTTTGGCTTCCTAGCCGAGGCCGCTTTGGACGCTCTAACTACCAGCGGCCCCCCGTCCAAGTCCACGGGAGGGGGTTCGGGGGGGGGGGTAAACCCCTCCCCGAAAAGGGAAAGAGAGAAGATGGAAGAGGAAACTCGCTAAACCACCTACGCCCAGAGGGCTGGTGGGATTATTTGCTGGATGTCGTCCTCAAGTACGATGGGAACAACATGAATCCTCCTCTCCTTATCCTCCTCTCCGCAGCCACTTTCGCTCCAGGGAGCCGCACTTTGGAGGCCCTCGCCATCACTCCTCCGGCCGCAGGCGCGCAGGAGGCAGGGACGGTGCGGATGCCAACGTCGTCTGGAGGAGCGCTGGTCGCCGCTAGGTTACCGCGAGTGCGCGGACACTCGCCCGCAGACGCCGTCGTGAGTTCAGATATCCGATGCTCTGGCGTTGGCAATCTACGTGCGATGATGTGCACCCTCTCCCGGCTCCCAGGCCTGAGCTTGCTGCCGGAGCCGCTTTCCTCCTCGCTTCGGCGGGCGCCGAAGTCCGCTTGTGAAGGAGCAGGGTCGTGGATCGGGTGACGAGCACTGTACAAACAGACTGGCTCTGGCCTGGCCCACCTTTGGCCAAAGATGATGCAATAGACCCGAGCCTTCTCCATTTTCCACTCCGCTCGCTTAGGAGGGTCTGCTTCAACCATGCACCAGCATCGCAGGCCCAGAGGTTGACCCCATCACCAAGATCGGCGGTGTGCATCCACCGACGGAAGGAGGTCCCGATCTCGGCGATGGTGGTAATATTCTGGTTTCCACGGGGACCGACCAACAACTCGGAAATCTAGGATGTTTTTTTTGCCTGTGGAGGTGAAGGAGAAGGCGGCGGAGGAGGAGGAGAGGGGCGGGGAGGAGGAGGAGGAGGAGGACGACGAGGGGAAGGAGGAGGAAGAGGAGGAGGAGGAGGAGAAGGAAGAGGAGGAAAAGGAGGAGGAGGCAGTTTGTTGTGTTGGTGTTTGTGCCCCTTTCCCAGGCCTCCAGCAGCAGGCGGCCCTCGCCAGGCCCAGGCCTCGGACTGGCCCGGCGCGTGAGCAAACGCAGGCCCTTGTGCGCCTGATTGTGCCGGCTTGGCCAAGCCGCGAGGGCGTGTTGTGCACCGATCTTGGGCACGGGATGGGCCTGGCTGGGGCCTGCGTGCGTGTGCGCGTGCTCGCTCGTGGTGGCGTTTCGTGGATTTGGCTAGTTCTTGCTAGGACCTCGTTGTGGTATTGATGCTGGCTGCGAGTAGTCGTAGGAGTAGTAGTCGTAATGACAGTAGTAGTAGTAGTAGTAGTAGTCGTCGTCGTCGTCGTCGTCGTCGTCGTCGTCGTCGTCGTCGTCGTCGTCGTCGTCGTCGTCGTCGTCGTCGTCGTCGTCGTCGTCGTCGTCGTCGTCGTCGTCGTCGTCGTCGTCGTCGTCGTCGTCGTCGTCGACGTCGACGTCGACGTCGACGTCGACGTTGACGTTGACGTTGACGTAGTAGTAGTAGTAGTAGTAGTAGTAGTAGTAGCCGCAGTCGTAGTAGTCGTAGTCGTAGTAGTAGTAGTAAACGTAGTAGTAGTAGTAGTCGTAGTAGTAGTCGTAGCAGTAGTAGTAGTAGTAGTAGTAGTAGTAGTAGTAGTATTAGTAGTAGTAGTAGTAGTAGTAGTAGCAGTAGTAGTAGTAGTAGTAGTAGTAGTCGTAGAAGGAGGAGTGGGAGTAGGAGTAGTAGTCGTGGTAGTAGCAGTACTAGTTGTAGCGGTAGTATTATATGTGGTAAATAGTTGTCGTAGTAGTTGTTGGTGCTGTTTATGTTGTAGTTGTATTCGTAGAGTTGTAGTTTTAGTAGAAGCAATAGTAGTAGTAGTAGTAGAAGAAGAAGAGGTAGTAGTACTAGTCGTAGTAGCAGTCGTAGTCGTACTTGTAGTAGTCATAGTATTAATACTAGTACTAGTGCTAGTCGGAGCCGTTTAGTAGTGTAGTAGTCATAGTAGTAGTATAGTATTAATCAGTCGTTGTAGTAGTAGTAGTCATAGTATTAACTAGTAGTAGTCATAGTATTAAGTAATACTAGTCGTAGTAGTCATAGTATTAATACCAGTGATACTTGTAGTAGTCATAGTATTAATGTAGTAGTCATAGTACTCAGCCGTAATACTTGTAGTAGTCATAGTATTAATACTAGTGCTAGTGTAGTAGTTAATGGTAGTCATCGAAGTAGTAGTCATAGCCGTAGCAGCAGCAGCAGTAGCAGTAGTAACAGTAGTAGGAGTAGTAATAGTAGTAGTAGTAGTAGTAGTAGTAGTAGTAGTAGTAGTTGTAGTAGTAGTAGTAGTAGTAGTAGTAGTCGCAGTCGTCGCAGTAACAGCAGGAGTTGGAGTAGGAGTAGTAGTAGTAGTAGTAGTAGTAGTAGCAGCAGCAGTAGTAGTAGTAGTATTAGTAGTAGTAGTAGTACTAATAGTAGTAGTAGTAGTCGTAGTAGTAGTAGTAGTAAGTAGTAAGTAGTAAGTAGTAAGTAGTAAGTAGTAAGTAGTAAGTAGTAAGTAGTAGTAGTAGTAGTAGTAGTAGTAGTAGTAGTAGTAGTAGTAGTAGTCGTCGTAGTAGTAGTAGTAGTAGTATTAGTAGCATTAGTAGTAGTAGTAGTAGTAGTAGTAGTAGGGGTAGTAGTAGTAGTAGTAGTAATAGTTGCATTGGTTATAGTAGCAGCAGCAGAAGAAGTAGTAACAGTAGCAATTTCTGTAGCAGTAGTAGAAGTAGAGGTAGTCGTCGTAGTATTCGTAGTAGTAGTAGTTGTAGTAGTAGTAGTTGTTGTAGTAGTAGTAGGGGTAGCAGTAGTAGTAGTAGTAGTAGTAGTCGCCGTCGCAGTTGGCACAGTAGCAGCAGCAGCAGAAGACGTAGTAGCAGTTGCTGTAGCAGTAGTAGTAGTCGTCGTCGTCGTCGCCATTGTACTGTAGCAGTCGTAGTAGTAGTAGTAGTAGTAGTAGTAGTAATAGTAGTAGAAGAAATTATAGGAGTAGTAGTAGTAGTAGTAATAGCAGTAGTAGTGGTAGCACGAGTAGTAGTAGTAGTAGCAGTAGTGGTAGTGGTAGTAGTAGCAGCAGCAGTCGTCGTAGTAGTAGTAGTAGTAGTCGTAGTAGTAGTAGTAGCAGTCGTAGTAGTAGTAGTAGTAGTAGTAGGTAGTAGTAGTAGTAGTAGTAGTAGTAGTAATCGTAGTCGTAGTAGTAGTAGTAGTAGTAGTAGTAGTAGTAGTAGTAGTAGTAGTAGTAGTAGTAGTAGTAGTAGTAGTGGTAGTAGTAGTAGTAGTAGTAATAGTAGTAGTAGTAGTAGTAGTAGTGGTAGTGGTAGGAGTAGTGGTAGTGGCAGTAGTAGTAATAGAAGTAGTAGGAGTAGAAGGAGTAGCAGTAGTAGTAGTAGTAGTAGTAGTAGTAGCAATAGTAGTAGTAGTAGTAGTAGTAGTAGTAGTCATAGTAGCAGTAACACTGCTAGTAGTAGTAGTAGTAGCAGTAGTAGTAGTAGTAGTAGTAGTAGTAGTCGTAGTTTCCGTAGTAGTCGCACTCGTAGTAGTAGCCGTCTTCGTAGTAGTGGTAGTAGTAGTAGTAGTAGTAGTAGTAGTAGTAGTAGTAGTCGCAGTCGTAGTCGTAGTCGTAGTAGTAGTAGTAGTTGTTGTTGTTGTTCTTGAACTTTTACTATTGGACACTCATGTTTGTTGATCAGCCCTTCGGTGACCATTCTGTTTTTCAATTTAAATTCTCCCCCCGGGGCTCGCACCGTTTTCATCAGGGAAGGTCCATGGGCCTCCTGGCTTTCAACGACAACGGCTCGCGCCTGAGACTTCCTCACGACTTAGTGAAGACCTCAGCTTCCTCCTAAGTCTTCCACGCATTCTACTCAGGAATCGCGGAAGTGTGTGCACCCTGCTCGCCCTTCTATATGTGATGGAGAGGGCTTCTGGAGGACCGGATCCTGGAAGTTCAAGGCTTGAGGTTACATGCGTTAGACCGAGGGGAACAACGCGACCATCGTGACCTAGATGTCGGTGAGTCGTGTCGGCAACCTCGAGCATGATCCATCCGGCCGTTGCCGATCTGCGAGGATGGCCCACCAATTGATTGCGACCAATATGGACGGCGATGACCAAGATCAAAAGCAATTCCCTGTTCACTCTTGGTCGTGGTCCTCGTTCTTTCTCCATTTCATGTGTCCCCAACGAAGGCGTGCGCAGAGTAGGACCACAAGGATAATGCGTGGACTTTGCGAGAATGTTTCGCTGGTCTCGGCGGGCGTCTGGGGTTTGTTGCTTCTGTGTCAGGGTCGTTGTGGAATTTTTCTCCCAATTGGAATTGGGGGCTGGGCTCCAGGACGCACTGCAGGGAACCATTTCCCACCCGCCTGACCATGGAACATTTCAGTTTTCCCATCATGGCGTTCCACATAATAGGTCTGCTCCGTCGATGCAAATGCCGTGAGCCCAGTGGTGTAATACCCTTCTACGAAGCCCAGTTTGTCGCCATCTTCGACGTGAAACCATCGTCGTCAATATTTTGCATTTTTGGCGCTTTCGTCAAGGAGTCGGCTAACGACATGGTTTGAACAAGACTTGGAACAAAAAGCGGCTGACAAGACACCGAGGGAGTCTGCCATTCAACAGCAATTCGTATGAGCGCGGTTGTTGGGAGACACGTTGGTTCCATGGGATGTATGGAAGTGCGTGCGCGCAAGAGTTCTGCGGTGATCAGCGACAGCGGACGCGTAACCGAGAGATGTGTGTATGTGTGTGTGTGTGGAGTTGGTGGTGCAGCCCTTGTTTTTCAGATGGATTTTGAAATCGAGTATGTCCTGGGCCGACGTGGTGTCTGGGTCCGGGTCTGTGTTGGGTCAGGCGAGGGGCAGAAGTTATATCAGTTTCCAGATGTATTTACCAGCGGGGAAGGGACGATCATATGGTTAAACATTGCAGCGCGTTCAAACAGACGTTTCGCCGACGGTAGGAGCCTGGAGGTCGATCTCCCAAAGTAATTTGGAAGTGATCGTTCGTGGGTAGTCAGGGCTTATTCTTGGCAACGGCAGTCAACTCCATGTGTAAATACATATATGTGTATGCGCACACATATACATGTTTATACATATATGTGTATATGCATGTATGTATATATGAATGTATGCATGTGTGGACTTATTAATGTATATCCATAGTTTCTATATACCTGTATATATACACATATATATATATGTGCATAGGTTGCGTATGTGCAGATCTACATGTATGTATATATTTTATTATATATATGTGTGTGTGTAGACTCGTGTACCAATCGCTCCATGCATCTATATAGCAGCCACTAGTCCAATTCCTGTTTGTATACGCATTTTTGAGTGCCCATGTATAAAGCTACCCATCGGCTCGGACATCCGTGTAAACACCCATCGATATATATATATATATATACACACATACATATACATATACATTTACATACACATATACGTATCCATATACGAAAGAGCGTGTTCTACCGCTGCTGCCGGAAATCCTGGGGGGGGTCATTACCGGTTCGACCCCCCCCCTTCCGGAGGGGGGGGGATTTTCGGAGGGGGGGAGGGGACACCCGGGTTCCGGAGGAACAGGGGGGAGAATTTTCCATAATAAAGCGGCGGTGGATCACGCTCTCTCATATATACATGTACAGATACAAATACATATACATACGTATGTATACATCATAATGGAATGGCTGGGGGAGAGTATACTGACACTTAACCACACATGCACAGGAGCGTTTAAAAACCTAGTCTGTTCCAGAGGCCGCTCATGGCGAGGACAGCACATATCGAACCTCGAGTCTCGACCAGCCGTTGACGATGATGAGCCCCCCTCTCCCTTTAGGCCTCCTAGATGGGGTCGGAGTAGATGGGGTCGGCAAATCGTGACGCATCGCCGATGTATCAGCGATGCGTTTGCGATGCATCGCCGAAGCGGCCCGATGTGGGGCCCACTCTTCTTCACGCCGGCGTCGCCGATGCATCGCCGCCGTCGCCAGTGCATCGCCGACGCATCGCCCCGGCGATGCGGCGGCATCTCTCGGCCCCGTCCACTCGGCCCCATCTGGCAGGCCTCAGCTCCCCCCCCGGAGGACTTCTACGTGGACCTCCTCAACCCGACGTGCGAGGACGAGCGAGGCCTCGCGACGCTCGGCGCCAAGGCCACGTGCATCGTGAAGACCGCCGCCCGCCGCCGCTCCGCGCGGCTCGCTCCCCCGCGCCTCGGCCCTCTGCGGCGCTCGGCCCTCCGGGCTCCGCACGGGAGGCCGTCAGGAGGCCCCCCGGGAGGCCAACACGCAGATGTCCTTGAGCTGTTTGAAGGATTTGGACCGTCGTCACCGTTTCGGCGTCCCGGCGCTACAGGGCGGCTTCCGAGGCGGCCCCCAAGATCGTCCCAAGACGGTGATGGGCCTGGTTTCCATCACCACCACCACCAGAAGTTTGAGGGTGGAAGGAGGTGGAGGAGGAGGAGGAGGACGAGGAGGAGAACCCCCTCCCCCTCCAACTTATGGTGGTGGTGTTGGAGAACAGGCCCATCAGACGGGCCAAGAGGCTTCCAAGAGGGCCCCACGACCGCCCCAGGGTCGCAGGCATTCGCGCGCAAGGCCCCCGCGTAATTAATAAGTCCCGCGTGAGCTCCAGTCTGACATGTCCCTGGACAGTAGGAATCTTCGAGAACAGTCAGCAAATAGTCAGGGGACGAATTTTTCGACCATGTTTTGCATGTGTTTGAATCTGTTCGATTATCCTTCATTTTTTCCCACCATCCGCCTGCAGGAGGACATGCCCGACCTGAGCGTGAGCTTCCTTTCCTCCACGCGGTGTGCCGCGCTGGGGGCCCGCGTGAGCCATGTCGCGGCAGGCCCGTGTGTTCGCGTCGCTCCGATTGCGAATGGATGGCCTAGGCCAGCAGTTGCGGTGCGCGAAGCCCTGCCCACGCACCAGCCCATCCCATCCCAGCCCGAAGACCCACATTTACCCTCCTCGATTTCCAGTGCGGGGAGGGGGGAGGTTGGGGAATATCGAGAAAACATGTGGAACCCGTACCCCGCCGAACCCAAAATTTGGGTCTTCGGGTTAGGTTGGGGTGGTCTGGTCGGTAGTCAAGTCCTGCCCAGCCTTCGGGGGTAATTCCGTCTTTGGCGTCGATTAGCTTCGATTCGCGTGTGGAGTCGATTAGATGCTGAGATAGTGCGGATTTAGCGTCGACCTGGCGTCGAATGAGCGTTTATTAGCGTCGATTTAGCGCCGACTAGCGTCGATACGCAAGAGCCGACAAGATGGCATGGGAGGCTCACGTGAGGTGCCACCGAAGACGCATCCAATCGGGCATTTCCAACAAGAGAGACAGGGTGGTTTTGGAGGTTCGGGCATGGAGGCTCGAGGTGTCTGGAAGTGAGTTCGCTCTTTTTGGGGCCTCCGTCAGGGTCTTCGCCGCAACACGGCTTGATTCCCCGCGAGATTCTGGCCCTTGTGAACCTCCGCAGAGGTCTGTAGCTCGGTCTTTGAAGGGGAGGCTCTGAGGAGGAACAGGTGCCCATACCGCTACCTCTCCCTCGTATTTCCTTTTTGGGGCTTCCTGGGAGGCCCTCGTCGCCACCACTGGATTCGCTTCGAAATCTTGGGCATACCGCACTTCAGGACAGGTCGGGGGGTAGCGGTATCGGTACCTGTTTGTATCCTCAGAGGCGGATGAGTCTGCTCAGAGTTGGGAGCCGCATCACAAGTAACGGTGGCGAGTCACCAAGATTTGCCGCTGGGCCGTTCCTGGCCCTGCGGTCGTCAAAAGGATCCAGGATGAAGCAGCCGTCTTTGGGAAAGTGTCGAGATCCTCTTGGGCCCACTTTACAAGTGTTGTCTGACGGGGATTGACCGAGAGGGTTGGCTGGGTTATTGGGTGTTGGCCAGGGTGGCTGGCTGGGCTCCTCGTTGCATGGAATGTATGTACCATCGCGACTGTATGCGATCTCTTGCCTTTGGAAATGGTAGTGCCGAGTGTAGCTAAAGAGTATATTCGAAGTTCTATCTTTTGTCACATACGTCATACTACTCATGTGGCTGCTTGCTGTTTCGTCGTCGTTACCCTCTTGTGGTTTGCTTCCACATATGTTAACTCAGTCTCCCTCATCCTCTGTGTTGGTTTCGTCCATCCCTTACTGTCTGTCCGCCTGGGTGTAAGGGGCTTGTTCGTAGTAGTTCCTGCTTTCGTCGTACGCGGTTCTATCGGCGACGCTCCAGTTGCTGGGTCAGAGCATGATACACAAGTTTCACATACGTTGCACCTCTGAGTTGGGATATCACCACTGGCGTCATGTGTTCGTTGTGCCACGCTGGCCTGAAGCTTGCCAGCCTCCAGCATCAGGGGCCCGAGCCTTCACCTAAGGGCCGAGACAACATCTATGTATGATTTCTCCTTTGGCTCCATGATCCTCTCCCTTTTTCCCCCGTCCTTGCCTCCGCCCTCGACACCTTATCTTCAATAGACGTGCGGGGCTCAAAACCTGGGCAATCCAGGGGGGGATTGGCCAGTGTGTTGGGTAGGGGTCGTTGAGACGTTGGTCAGGCTCAACTTTAACCGTTGCCGCTTCCTCATCCGCCCCCACCGCTTTCTGCGTTTCTTCTCCCCCCCGCCCCTGCCCGTTCCCGCGGATGTACAGCGGCGCGGCGAGGGAGGAAGAGGATGATAGGAAAGGAGAGGAGGAGGAAGAGGAGGCGGAGGCCGGAGCCATTTTGGCTCAAGGGGCCTTCCCCTTAACTTCCCAACCTCGGCTCAGGAGCGACAAAGTCTGGCCGCCCTCGGCCGTTCGCGCCCCTGGGTGCCTTACTGCTGGCGCTCAGGACCTGAGGTATACATTGGAAAAAGGGAATGGTCGTGGGTCCCAGCGGGGCCCTACCCAGCTGAAAACCGTCGGGCCCCCATGTGGCCGTTGCGGCTGTAAAAAGAACCTGGAGCACAGCAAGGTTTGCTATCTTTGTGGTGCTCCTTATGGTCGCCAAGCTCCACCACCCCCTTCACCGAATGGAGGGGATTGGAGAGAGCCGCCGCCCCCCTGGGCTCAGGGGCGCGGAAAGGGCAAAGGTAAGAAAGTGGATCGTGGTGGGCCCGCAGGGGGCCACTCGGCCCCAGAGGGCGGGCGTTCAAAAGACGGCGGGACCAAAGGCGGGGGGCGTGGCGACCGCCCCAGCCACACACCGCACGACTCCCTCCACCACCTCTTCAAATTGGGGAGTGGGGGGAACAGTTTCGACGTCACAGGTCAGGTTCTGTCAGGCTGGGGCTATGATCTTCAGCCATCTTGTCCTTATTGTCTGGAGGTATATACTCAATACCACAGGCTATGGACATGCTCTCTCGGAAAGGAGTTCAGGGAAGAAGTCATGGGCTTGGACGTCATCGAAGGGGCTTCGGAAGATTCGGCATTATATTCGCACCTCTGGCCTCCCAGAATTCAACTTGAACCACTGCTGGAATAATGGGGTGCTCGTTATGTAGATGCCAACGGGCCTTGTGGCCCTCTTCGAGTTTGAACCCAACAGCGAATCTTCACATATGGTTCGTGTTTCGATCCCGAAATCCGCCATCTTGCCCGAGCAGGATCCCCCGCTGTAGAACTGAACGAGGACAACTCGCTCAAGCGTGCAATCTTCGGGGGCCTGCCGTCTTTCGGGGAGCAGACCGCGGTCGACGGGGAGCGCGGGGGGTTACTTATGGCAGCACTTCGCTCTAAAGCAGCTTCCACGATCACTTTCGTTGTAGATTGCGCGGCCCTCACCCGCAAGTCTATCAAATCTTGCATTGACGGTGGACCCCCGTTCTCTAGGGTCTGGAGGCACATCAGCCGCGCGCTCCCCGCGGGCGAATGGCTGTACCTAGTCAAGACCAAGGGCCACAGGAAGGAGTCGGAGGCAGTCAGCGAATTAGATCGGAGGTATATCCTAGGCAACATTGAAGCATATCAATATGCAGGGCAGGGTGCGCGCAGTCATCGCCCAGCACCCGCCGTAGCTGATGAGCAGGTTGCCGCCCATGATCTCTACTTGGCTGTCTTGGCCGGGGCCGGTAAGATCTTGGGGCCTTGGCCGAAGTCCGAGGTGTTTTGGGGTGAGCTGCATAAGCTGCCCAACGAGCCTAGACCTTCACCGCCAAGACCGTTTTCCGAATCACATCAGCCAGTTTGGGATGCGCAGAGAAATCGGCGCCTTAGTTGCTTAAGGATTGTTCCCCCCAAGTCGAAGTTTGACTGCCAGGCCATGCCGCCAGCTGCGGGGGAGGTGATCAAGCAGCATAAGAGGCTCCATCACTCGCCGTGCGCAGGCTGGCTCGATTCAGGGCGCCCTGTTATTTTCTGCAACCATTGCGGAGGTTTCAGTGCGCATCGTAGTTCGAAGAAGCTTACTGACCCCAGGGGTTGTGCCAGGAAGACAAGCAGTGAGCTTAGGAAGCTCAGGAAAGGCATGCTCCCAGACTCAAGTGCCAAGATCAGTAGGATCCTGCCCTTTAATAGACCTGGGTAGTATAGCAGTGGGATGGTTGGGGCAGTGCAGCAGTTCAGAGGGACAGCTGGTGGGGGGGGGGCTGTCTTGTCTGTCTTTTCTCGCCATCCTATGGGGGGGCCTGCAGGCGGAAGGTCCCCTGCGCCAGAGTGCTGGGGTCGCGGCACAGGGATTCCGTGGCATAGGGTGCTCCTTCGGCTTGTTTGCTTCCCCTACGCTGCCCCTTCTGCCGCTCTCCACGCCCGTTTCTGCGCGTGCCCTGCGAGCCCTCCTTTCCTCGGCCTCGGGCCCAGCCCCCCGTCAGCTCTCGCGCGCGCGCCGTGCCTGCCCGCTATGGTGAAGAGCAGGCAGGGTCCGTATCAGGCGTGCGCGTCCCAGGGCTGCCGTGGTTGGATTTACCTCTCGAGGTTCAAGGAGGAGGATGAGGACGCGCTGGCGTGCAAGCTCTGCGGGAACCCCTTCGACCCGCCGCAGGAGGCACTGGGGGCCATCAGGGAGGCCCGCGCCGCCCGTGCTGCCGCCGCCCGTCAGCCTGTCCCGCCTGGTCCAGCTCTTCCTGGCCTAGTCGCTCCTGGACTTGCGAGGCCCTCGGCCGCTCCCAAGCCCTCAGCCAAGCGTGAGCTTCCGCTGTCGGTCAAAGGATCGGCACCGCCTCCTCTTCCTAACCCCGAGCTCTCGGGCCCT